CCCGTAAAGTTTTTCTTTTTAGTCTTCACTGTCATTTTTCATGAATGGACACTTCCTTATATCTGAGGCAGGAAACAAAGCCTTATATGAAAAAACAAAAAGAAAAAAATTGTATAGGTCCTCTGGACGGGTTCTTCTTTAATGAAACGTTTCGTCTCTCCTCCAAGAGACTTCTTCAGTTCTTTGCCTGAAACTCTCAGACTGAAGAAGTCTCTTGGAGGAGAGACGAAACGTTTCATTAAAGAAGAACCCGTCCAGAAGACCTARACAATTTTTTTCTTCTTGTAAGGAGATGTTCAGTTTTAAAGTAAAGAAGTAAAGAATCATGTTTATGTTGTGAATGTAACAAAATAAAAGTTACAACTAAAATAAAAACTTGGTAAAATACAGATCCTCAAAAAACTWCTTAAGTACTTTAGCAAAGTAAATGTACTTCATTACAATAATAAATAGTAAATTGACATTAAACAACTTTGTAAAAAAAGAAACTAAAATGAAAGCTCAGTCTACTGATTTAGCAGCTTTTTAATTTCTTTGTCTCATAACACAGATGTCTGTTCTGTTTGTGCAGCCATCTCTGCTGCAGATACTCTGAATCCATCACTGCCAAAAAACCAAACACAATCAGTTCTGCTTCATTGCTGAGAAATGCTGCGACAACAACCTCCATGTTCAGCACAGGCCCAAAGTGTCAACTCCAACCACACCAGGAGTTTACATGTTTATTAGCTAGAATATATGTTTCAGACTCATTTCCCCCCCCCCCAGTCACATCTGTCAATATGTCTCATTACTGGGATTCCTCTTAATGTAAAAATCGTGTCAAAATCCCGTGACGTGATCACTGTAGTACTCTGTGACACCACAAGAGAGAGGTATTTCTTGTACATCTCACACAACAAGTCATATTTACTTCATGGAGTTTGGTAATCAGTAACAAAGAGCTTGTGCTTTCATGGTGCTTGACAGAAATACACATTTTCCCCACATTTCCTCATGTTTGATGAGGCTCAACGATGCTGTGTGTTTGACTGAGGTCCTCAGAGAGAACTGGCCTGAGGCTACATCTTGTCATGCTCCTGTTTGAGCAAGAAACTGCAGACAGACAGGAAGAGTTGGGATACTTTAGCTATAAGCGTGGAAATATGCGCTAAAGATTCAATTTAAAATCCAGTTTATGAGTTTTTTATGGTGAAACAACACTATTTGRGCTCTCTAAAATTACGTTAACATTTAACACAATTATTTTAACAATATACCAACATTTGTGTYTTTTTGCTTTAAAGTGTAAACCTCTCTTGATGTCTTGTGGTTCAGCTTCTCACTTTTAACAGAGTTTTCTCGTCAGTTTCGTCTCCAGACCACATGCTAACAGCATCTTGACAGTTTTATTGCTGTAATACTTCTCAATAACATTACAAACTGTTCCAACGGGGATTTCAAGGCCGTTGGTAAATCTTGTATCAGTCCTTGAATTTTTTATGTTTTTTCTTTCTTTCGTCTCCTTCTGACAGCTCCTTTGACTTCCCCATCAGGAGAAAGAAATGGGGAATATCCAGCTTCTTTGAGCTAGTGCCACACAAGCGAGTTTTATTTGTGTGTTAAAATGAGTCGAAAATATCACAAAAATTGTTTCGATAAACTGGTAATATTCATAACAATATTAAACAATAACATGAAGTGAGATGTGATAAATAAGTCAACAAAGCAATCACTGTACACAAGCACATAGATTTATTTATACAAATATAGTATAACAATTGCATATCAACAGTTTGTTGTCATTTTTAATCTTTTTTTAATGGTAAGTACAGGACTATCAGCATCAAAAATGTAAATCAATAAGAAAAAGTGATCTGAAGTTAGAAAAGGGGTTTGTAAATTTGAATGAAATGGTTTTAGGATTGTACCGTTTTGGGGTCTAATCCAAAACCTGAGCATTAAGATTGCTTAATACAAAACTGCGACATTAAAGGGATAGTTCAGATATCTGAAATGGGGTTTTGTGGAGAGATTATGAGCAGTTAACATCTTACCTGTTGTAGATCACGGTTTGAACTTTTTTACTTTCGAGAAATGAGCTAAGGGCTAGTCCGACAGAAATAGAGCTTAATTTTGACAAGACTGATAAGCTAATGGCTAGTCCGAGTGGGCCAAGTTCAAAATGTATCATTTTCAAACAACCCTAATTGAAAAGATTATTGTTATGGACTAATTATTTATATCTGTTCTACCTTGACACTGTCCAGTAATCATATCTTATGARTAACTAGTTTRGGCTYTTTTACTCTGTCGGCCCAGACTTCAAGACTCCAGCYATGCACGACCTCTTTTATTCTGATAAGGTGTTTTCCAGGCTGACAGCCCTGTCATTGGTTAGGTGGTTACAGTTGGCGATCTGTGATTGGTTGTAAAGCATGTCACATGATGTTATATTATCGGCCACTCTCCGCTAAGGAGCTAGCCACAACGATTATCATGGCCAATGTAAACTCCATTTTATAAACTTTTGCCTCCCAATCACTTTTGAGTTCTACCAATATAAACATAGAATTATGTAGTCATTTTTATACACTTACTGCAGCAGTAGCAGCTAGCTGTAGCATGTCTGATGCAGAAATTTTGCAATATTTGTATTAAAATAAGCGAGAAACGCAAAATGGACTTGAATGAAAAGGTTTATAAAATGATGTGAATTTTTAGGATCAGAGTTGTTTGAGCTATAGGCGTAGCTCAGACTAGCCATTAGCTTGTCAATCTGGTCAGAGATAGGGGACACGGTGACTTCGCAAGTAGTTTTTTTAAACCATTTCAGTCACACAAAAATGTTGTGTTAGAAACCTCAAACTGGTATTTAAAAAAACAGATTTTAGAGTTTAAAATTTTGGTTCATTTCCTTTTAATTTAATTTTTTGAATTGACGATGTGCTTGTGAGAATATTGTTGGAAACAACAATTAAAAAGATAACTGGGCCAGGTCTTAAACCTTCTTTCTCTGAACATTTAAGGCACTGTCTACACCAGGTAAGATATTCTTTATTATCATTTTTTCCATGAAACCCAACAACCAAAATATTTGAACTATTCTTTTAAATGAACCTCAATGCCAGCAGGTTTTTTTTTGGGGGGGGGGATGACCTTATTATATAAAGCAGTGTGTTTTATACTATGTGAATCTAGATATTTCATCTGAATTATGTCCTTGAAAACGCAACTTGATGACATTTTAAGCTAATTACCTAATATTCAGGTATTTTGAAGAAAAAAAAACAATTTTTTTAAAAGATCTTAGGTTTATCTTGGTGTTAAATGATAGAAAAGACAAAGTAGTAAAGATTGTAGTTAAGCAAACAAAAGCAAAGAGCGCCTTTAAAAAAAACAGCCAAAACAGACAAACGGTAAACTGAAAAGTCTTCAAAGGAAGAAAACCACAACAGGGAGCACTTTGCAGCAAAGATGGAGACAAAAGTAAAGTGGGATCAAAGGCGGAATGGGGGGGTTACACAAGAACTTTGGAGTTGTTTGTTCAAAAGAAGACTTTTCTTACAGAAAACAAAATGTCAGACCTTCTTCTCTGTCTCAACACATCTCACGGCGATTGTCAAAACAACAAAAAGTAAAACGCAAGAAACAAATCTAAAAAGCATTCTAATATCATCTATATGAATAAATCCTAAATAATAATCTGTATCTCATAGAAAGGATAAACATGTAATGATAAAACTCTCATCACTA